GACACTCCTCGGGGCCCGAGGAAATTCTCCCGTCTTCGCCCGAGGAAATGCGCGCCGTCGTTCCACTCATCCTCAGAATTGTTCCCCGAGGACGATTCCTCGGGGCCTTCCGCAGCCAGTTCGATATATCGACAACCGGACGTGGGGGGGGAGGGGCGGTTGGTCCATCAAGGTGTGTCCGTCCCGACGTCGTTGGTCCAGCTCGGGAGGCCGTCGCGAAATTGGAAGTTGGCGACGGGAAAAAAAATGGCACGAAAAAGGTGCGCAGTCCCGGGTTCGAAATTTGAATTTCCGCAAGCAACCGTCCAGTACTGTGGGCGTCCATTGCGGCTGACGGCAGCACCGTTCCTCGGCGGAAGCGTTTTGGTACGGGGTGGCGGCTGCGTTTCGGTGGGCACGTCGAACGTACATGTACGCGTCTGAAGCAGCAGACACGCCGTCACACGATCGCCGTCGTTGTCGTCTTCGCAGGCGAGCTTGACCGTCGACGTGTACGTTGTGCACTCAGGTCGGCAGCGCTGTTGTGTGGCCAGCCACACGTGGACTCTTCTGCACTTGGCGACGCCCACGTCGACAGCACGAGTTTCGGTGATGGCCATGAACGGGGGGCCGGGACGTGACACATTGAGCAAGGAAGAGGACGGTGGTGGTAGCGGCCGTGAACGCCATCCTCTTCTGGTGTCAATTGCAAAGGGGCGAGGGGAGGATGAGAGCGGCCATTCGCGCACGGCGGAAGAGGACGCTGCAGTCCACGAATGTGGAGGGGGAGGACAGTGGTGCCACGCCATGCTGTAGGTTCGCTACGCCATGGGGTGTGGAGCATTCCCCAGAGCGACGCCCAGGTGGTGGATGAAGCGACGGACATGCGGGACGTGGGAAGATCTTTGGCAATGCGACGACGCGACGAAAGACTACTTCAAGGACAAGCAGCGGCAGCCTCCGAAAGACGTCGGCCATGAAACGCGCGTGGACGACGCCAGCAGCTAGAAGACAATCATGGACGTCCAGGAAATGGCGAGGGTCAGTGGCGCAAATGGTCGATTGCAGCTACCGACAAAAGTAGGGTAACGTATTCCATCGCGGAAGATACTGCGCAATCAGGAGAGCGGGGCCGGGCTGGAATCTGCCGACCATTGGGCGCTTTCCCGCTACTGCGGAAGGGCAGCGACGCAAGGCAGCCCCTTTTCGACATCGCGGAGGACGGAAGGCTGCAAAAGGGGACCGTTGGCGGAGTATTCCATGACGCTGACCGTTGCCAATCAGAGATGTCCGTCCACGGGCCGCCAGGAACAATAATGGACCAGCCGCGTCGAAAATTGTCGTCGAGAGAGCTGCCGTCGACGCCCCGATTCGTTCGGATGCTCGATCTCCAAGGGACCTCGGGAGGTCCCTTGGGGAATGCGTCGAAATGGCTGTAGCCCGAGGAATCCCCAAGGAATCCCCGAGGAAATGTTTTCACTTTTTTTTTTCTTTTTCTTCCGTGAGGATAAGTGGAACGATGATTTCCTCGGGGATTTTAAGCGCCCGAGGAGTGTCGAACGAGCCCCTAAATCAAGTTCACAGTTCAAAGTTAATCATACTTTTTTCAAAAAAAAAATTCTCTGTTTCTTTTGTCTTGTGCCTGCTTTGCATGTGCCTGCTTTGCACTGTTTGCAAATCTGCATGTCTGCTAGTTAAATGTGCTGGTTGATTTGCTGCAAGACACGTGCTCTGCTGCCTGAACTACAGAGTGCAAAGCAGGTAAGTGCCTGCCAACACCCCCACCCCCCCCCCCCCCCCCCCCCCGCCCTCTTTTTTTTTTTTTTTTTGGTCCGGACATTTTTGCACCCTGGGGACCGGTCCGGACTGTGTCCGGTGATGTTCGGATCACCGGACAGTCCGGACAGGTCCAGATATTGGTCCGGAAGACGGTCCGGAAGTGTCCGGTGTCCGGGTCCGAGGTCACCATGGGGGGATCCCCTTTTTTTTTATATAGTTTATTTTTTTAGTCTGTTTATTAGGACGAAGGAAAGTACAGTTTGGTTGGTTACCTACCTGCGTTTTCCCTCCCACCCAACCCTTTGCCTGCGCCACGTCAGCAGCAGTGCCACGTCAGCAATAGTGCCATGTCAGCAGTGTCATGTCATCAACAGTACCACGTCAGCAGTCCCCCGCCACCATGACGGTTTCAGCTTTAGGCATGCCAGGCCAACTGGCCGACGAGTCCATTGCGGAATACCGACAGCGGTTTCTAGCTCAGCTTGCACTAATCGAGGCTGAGGAGGCATAAGCTGAAAAGCAGCGGCTTCAGGCCGCAGCTGACGCAGAAGCCCAGGCCCGCTGCAAGGAGGCCCACGATCTGTTGCAGCGACACGAAGCCACCAGCATCGACAAGCTCAAGTTCTGGCATTTCGAACCATCCGAGAGATCAAGACGAACCGGGCTGCTGCACACGAGAAGACAGCGTGGCAGCCAGCCCAGGTGGAGAAGGGAAAATTTGGTCCGCGTCCGCAGCATGTCGCTGCAGTCCAACCGGACACCATTGTGGAAGACACGACAGCCACCCAAGCATCACGTGAGGGAGATTAGGTGGCCGCCGTCCAGCCGCGAAGCAACAACAACTCCCGGGGAAAAGGGAAGGCGAAAACCGCATCGTCGGCCGGAAATGGACAGCCAATACCACAGCTCGGGAAAGTGAGCTGCGCAGGAGGTGAGGTGACTCCACCTGTCACTCTGCCAGATTTGGCCGCCTTGCTAGCAGCCTCCTACACGTTTGGGGAGGAGGCGCATGTCGAAAGTCCGCGGTAATCTTACGAGGATTGCGCTGTTCACTTGGTCCCACCGTTGGACCAACCACTCCACGTGCAACAATCCACGACATGCACGGTTTCACCACCATCGGCAACTGTTTCGGCAGCTTCGCAGTGGATTCGACGTCATGGTCAAGACTTGGAGAGCTTGACCGGTTGACGTTCGCAGACTTCCAATGGATGCCCGTTTCCCCGATCGGTCGATTGTCGAAACCGCATTGTAACGTGCTCAAGGCACAATTGCGGGATTACTTGTACACTGCAGTACCAGCTCTGTTGATGGACGCCGGAGTAGAGGTTGTCGACCTTCAGGTCTACGTTGCGAAGATCAACCGCGAGTTCAAGACAACCTTACGACGATATCGACGCGTTATTGTTGTACATACGCATTGAGATCGGAGAGGTGACCTGCAGCGCTTTGATTGATTGCGGAAGCGCTCGCAACTATATGGGCCACAATTTTCTTGTACGCAATGGCCTGGGGCCACGCGTTCAGAGGAAGTCGCAGCCCACACAAGTCACGTTGGCTGACAGTCACACGCACAAGTCAATCGACTGGTGCATTGACCCCGTCCCGAGGCCGTGTCCTTCGACATTTTGGACACCAAGTTCGCAGATTTGCAAGCATCTGCACCGCTGATCTACGCCGACTACGAGCGACGAAGACTAGCTAAGGAAGCTTCACAAACCTGCCCCTCCCACCTGGACTTTGGTCCCAACCTCCGAACGGCAGCTTCGCCCTCGCAGGTAAGCTCGATCTTTCAAGGAGGGGGGGGGTGTGGCATACTGCACATCCACATGGGCCTGCAAGGCCTGACCAAACAAGGAAAAGTAAGGGCCCTACAGGCCCTGTGTCTTTTTCAGCGTGGAAAACTGGGAACAAGGGCCTACAGGCCCTCTGTCGTTTCAGCCTGAAAGCCTGAAAACAAGGGCCTACAGGCCCTGTGTCGTTTCAGCCTAAAAGCCTGAAAATGAGGGCCATTTTCAGGCCCTCATAAAGTCGACCTGCCCTGAAACTTAGGCACCAGACCAGGGTTTAAGCACAGGCCATTTCGGGCCTGTTTTCAAGACAACCCTCGTTTGAACTTCAATGCTAGGGTCTGGCACGTTTTGGCATTGGCAAGAGCAGCCTCCTGGACGGGCCACCACTATATAAGACTGGCCCGCCTTGTAGGCAGTGAGGCAGTCACGAGGTAGTTCCTAGGGACTTCCAGGCACTTCACGTGCAGGAGGCACGAGGCAGTCTTCAGGATTCGGCAGCAGCGCTCTGGAGGAGCGCTGCAGTAGTATTAGTAGCGTTAGCAGTAGTCTTCAGCACTGGGCGCTATTAGGAGCTAGAGTAGCGTTGGAGAGAGAGATGGTTGGCGGAGGCCAGGGAGACTTACCTGCAGCGCCATAGCTCCAGCTTCGTTACCTGCAACAAGGCGCCACCTTCACAAGTTAGTACCAGACTGAGAGAGAGAGAGAGTTCTTCTTCTTCCTCTTCCAAGTCCACCATCTCTCCCTCACCCTCTCGCTATCTAACTTCTCAGTATATCTGCAGACTACGGGAGAGAGAGAGAGAGAGATTGGTGACTTTGGGACTTGAGGGCATTTGGATCCAGACATTTGACGAGGGATTATTTGGGACCTGTACCGAGGACTTGGTATTGACGACATTCCCATCTTCCCCTGTTCTTTGTCTAACCCCCCTCCTCTTCGTCTGTGTATGGTTGGGGACTGGCGCATTCTTCCTGTGTGAGCGACAGACCCCTTCACACCATGGAATGATGATGATATATGTCTGGTCTGCATTGCAACATTGATTGTTCGAATCATTGGTATTTAGGCCTTCCGCTGTGCTATCTTGTACTATGTGAGAGAGGTTGGTTCTTGTTCTGGTCTGTACCGTTACGGTATGCGACACACACACACACACACACACACACACACACTCACACACACTTCTTACCCATTCTATGTTGCTCCTGTTGGTCTTCCTCTCTGAGCTATGTGCTAGTATCCCTCTGCTTGTGTGATTAGGTTCGTCTTCTCAATTTTGCATCTTCTGGGTCTGTGCATTTTGTTATGATCCCCTTGCTTCCTGCTGTTGGCTTGACTGTGGTCCTCTTCTTTTACTTCACTTTGTTTCATTCAGAGCGGACACCATTGCAGTCATTGAGCAATGAGTGCTCTGTAAGTATTTGTACTGATTGGCAATCTGTGGTTCAGGGCTTCGCAAGTGGAGATCTATCGCAAGATGCTGCTGCTGTTCGCTCATTTGCTGGAGACGGAGGGGAGTTACTAATCGCCCAAAGTTTTGCAAAGAACATGGGCCTCTACGGAGAGAGGGTTGGAGCATTGAGCGTGGTAAGTATTAATCCATGGAACAAAGAATTGACCAAACAAACACGAAACCTGTTCATGGAACAGAAAAGGGTATGCGTAGTAAAGAGTATATAAGCATACTATGGAACGCGTTAAATGCAAAAAAGAAAAAAACGAGTTAAAACACCTTTCTCTGAGACCACTATTATTGGGATGTGTGGCCTGTAGAGTTAAAACAGCTGTTTTTATGTCTTTACGACCAACTTCAACATTTTAGACCAATACGACGGACACAGTTAAACAGGCTTCCAACTGTAGGAGAAGACGACTGGCATAGAAGTCAGCAGTGAGGTAGAGAAGGAGAACTTGCAAGGATCCTGTCCTTTCGTCGCTTGCTGGAGTGTACCAGATAGCATGCATGTAACACAGATCACACGGATTGCAATGACTCACACGAGATTCAATGGAAGATGAGTGGAAACCAGAAAGTCCAACTCAATTATCGTAACCAGATCAAAGAAAGACAATTATGAGTTCAAAATGTATAGCGCCCAACAGAATTACAAGTCTTCTTCATCCAGCCAGAGTTCCAGGCCTAGCGCGCAACAGCGCTAGCAGCCTATCACCAGAATGGCGCTCCACAGGTAAGTCACACCATAGCTCTCTTCTCTCTCTTCCTTGCCTGGTCTCTCTTCTCTCTTTATCTGAGTTTGGTCCTGGTCTACTCACACTCACCATGCATGCACACTCCCTATCACACGAGGATCAACTCTGAATACTACTCACTGGTCCTCTCTACTGATTATTCTTACTACTAACATTAACTAGTACTGGCGCAACCATGGCTGCCTTCCTTCCAGCCAGCGCCCAACTCTCTCTTCCTTCAGCGCAGCTCTCAAGCCCAGCGCTGCTCAATCACATCTGGCGCACAAGTGCCTTCAGCACTTCCACACTCTCATGCGAACGAGTATCTGTCCCATGGGGAGGCTGGCCAGGTTTGGCGAGGTCTGCTTTCGGCCTCCAAGTGCCTGGGACTCCTGCCCAGTACCTGTTGTTGCAAAGTGTGTCCCAGTACCCTTTCCCATGGTCTGCTGCTGCTTTGGCTGTCGGGCCTGTCTTTTGGACTCCCGGTCTGAGTCAGAATTGACTCGTGGGGCTGTGACTGGTCTGGGACTGTGACCTTTGACTTATTGCCGAACAGACATGACCCTATCTCAGTCTTAAAATTTGAACCCAGTACCCGTTCATCTAGGACCTGATTGTGACTATTCAAAAATGACTTTTCATTTCACACTGGATGCGACATTTGCCTCAGGGAACTTGTCTTTTGGAGTGCTGCTCGTGAAATTGATTTCTGGCCGAGAGGGCCCTTTTATGTTGGGGTCACATTTACGGGTTGGAAGCGTAAATGCAAGGAAGATGAGCAATAGCGAACTTCAGCAATCAAACAGCATCATATACACAAGACCAGATAGTTGTGACCTCGAACCAACAGCAGAATTGCATCACGAGTTTCACCAAATAAGAGCACACCAAGAGCTCATAATGGACAATGCTGGTAAAGTCCCATCATCATCATCAACGAAGAACCAATGTTGATATCCTATCTGGCGCTCGGCGCCCAGACTACAGATGGCAGATCCTATGCCTAGACTACAATGCCGAAGATGACGTCAACAGCTTTCCCGAAGTACGAGCATACAGCGACCAATGTCGCACGCTTCCAGCACCAGGTATGTCTCTCGCCTCACTCACAACCTCGTTCCCCAACACACAGATGCCACTTTCACCCAAGGACCACCCTGCGCCACACCCAGCTTACAGCAGCGCAGCTGGGCTATGGCTGCCTGCTCCTTCCTGCTCGCCCGTGAGCGCGTGAGTGCCAGCGAGCTTCAGCGCAGCAGCGCTTGCACAGCATGCAGCCAGCACCCGAATGCCCAATGTGGAGGCAGGCCCTTTTCTATATCGAAGTGGCCTGCCTGCGTTCAGTCCCAGGAAGCTTCCAGTATGCCCCGGTAGCCTGAGGCCCAGCACGAATGAGAACACGCCTTGGGCTTGAGGTGGTTGCATGCACCCAACTGCCTTTGACCTGTGTTTGGCCCAGTACCCATATCAAGCCCAGGGCCTGCTTTCCATACATTCACACAGGCGGCCCAGGGCCTGGGTTCTCTCAACCAACTGGCGCTGCGCAACTGCCTGAATTTCCTTAGTTGCGCAGTGGGCGAAATAGGGCCTTGAGGGCCTCGTCGAGCTTGCCTTCACTTAGGGCGGCCGACTTGCTCCAAAATGGGGCCGAATGGGGTTCATAGCGGCAGTGGCCTCGCATTCCCTCCTCCTTAGCTTCAACAGTCCTTTGAGAAGCTGAGTCTTCAACCATTGGGCGCTTTCCCTTCTGCGAAGATCTCTCGTAGTGGGTTACAACTTGCGGAGCGGTCTGCATGAGTTCCTCCGTGGTGAACCAGCGGTCCTCCTTCGGATCAGTCGGAACCGAGCGTGGCACTGCAGCTTTCGTTTCGGAGGACGTCCCCTGCCTGTTGGTCTTGACACTGGCAGTTCCCTGTGGTCCATGATATCATCGATATCCACCTCTCCGTCCATGGTTGGGGGCAACATTGAGCGACGAGAGGGGAACTGATCAGTTTCTTTCAAAGGTGCAAGTTTGGAGGCATGAAAGACGGGGTAAGTACGAAGATGACCAGGGATCCGGACTACGTAAGAAGGTCCATCCGGATCAGTCCAACAATATCTAAGACTTCCCATGGTCCAAAGTACTGTGGCATGAGCTTCCTGGAGATCCCGTGCTCCTGTCCCAGTTCTGAGGACTAAACCTAGACTCAGTCCCCTACCTGAAATGAAGACTCACGGCGGTGTTTGTTCGTAGATTCTATCATAGCCGCCTGTGCCTTCTGCATCTGTTCTACAGCCTGCTGCATCTTCTCATACTGCAGCTTCGGTTTCGGAGGACGTCCCCTGCCTGTTGGTCTTGACACTGGCAGCTCCTTGTGGTCCACGATATCCACGATATCATCGATATCCACCTCTCCGTCCATGGTTGGGGCCAGCATTGAGCGACGAGAGGGGAACTGATCAGTTTCTTCAAAAGGTCCAAGTTTGGAGGCGTGAAAGACGGGGTAAGTACAAAGATGACCAGGGATCCGGACTACGTAAGAAAGTCCATACGGATCAGTCCCAACAATATCTAAGATTTCCCATGGTCCAAAGTACTGTGGCATGAGCTTGCGGGAGATCCCATGCTCCTGTCCGAGTTCTGAGGACTTAACCCAGACTTTGTCCCCAACCTGAAATGAAGACTCACGGCGGTGTTTGTTCGCAGATTCTATCATAGCCGCCTGTGCCTTCTGCATCTGTTCTACAGCCTGCTGCATCTTCT